TCCACGTCACTTTTCCCAATGGTACATATCTGTCTTATCTCTAGCTGGTTAAGGGAACAAACTTGAGCTGAATATTTACTAAATTTAGTTCTGGTTCTGAAGTTCTAGAAAAACACATGGGCCTATTTTTTACTTGCCTGTAGAGAAAGAGATTTTTTAAAAAATCATCCAGGGACACAAAGAAACATCTGAGACATCAAGATATAATCCTGAATTGACTGCAGTGTGGAATAACAGGAGATAAAAATGAAGCACAATATTAACTTGTGGCCCATGGGGGAATTCTGCATAACGCTCTCTGTCTCAGAGAAATGAGTAATTATTTTGAAACACTGGGCAGGACTTTTCTCATCAGACGCCACCAGCTTTCTCCTGAGTCTTCCAGATTATTCGAGAGATTGTTGAGTTTGCTAGGTGAGCGGTTTGTGCAACCCTCCAGGGACGAGGAAAGCTCTAAGATGTGTGTGCCGGGTTCAGAGATGCTCTGGCCGTGGCTTATTTCACCCAATGCAGCCTTGACCCACCGCGACCTCATCCCCAAATCAGTGTGTCCAGGGAGGCCCCTGCCCAGGCCCCTGCACGCTGCGATAAGTATCCCATAGCCTGGCACCCTGTGAGAACGCCCTCCCAGGACGTGTAACGTCCTGTAACGTGTGACTGTTTTGTGTTTATGGCCACCTCCCTCTACAGACTGTAAAGCCCACAAAAATAGGAATTATGTCCATTTTAGGCCTCCCCGATGTTCAGTGACTAGCAAAGTGCCCTTCTCTTTATGGAGCAAACTAAATGCCCACTGGATGCCAGGTACAATGAGTAAGTGTGTTTATGCTGGAATGACGCTTGTCAGGAGGAATTGTACATATGTAAAAGCAACACACCTCAACAACAACAACAATCAACTGATATAAAGAATGGCCCTAGGGCCGGCTGAGTGGCGCGTTGGTTAAGAGCTGCCTTGGGACGCCAGAGGGCCCCGGTTCGGATCCCACATATGAGGGCCAGTGACACTGCCCTCCACAGCTAAGATACTGAACAACAGCTCAACTTGGAGCTGGGCTGCCGTGAGTCGCCGGCGACGGTGTAGGCTGCAGCCCCTGTGGCAGTGGGTTGCCATGGGCTACCGTGTGTAGCCAGCAGCCAGCGTGAGCGGCCAGCAGCCGCAGTGAGCAGCCGTCCAGAAGCCGGCGACTGATCTGCCTTGCCCGGGAAGAGCGCAATGATGGTGCCAACTTGGGCCAGTGAAGCAACGTCCTCCACAATTAGACTGAAGAACAAAAGTATAGCAACTTGTCTGTTCCCCTTCCCCCAATTCCCCAATAAAAATCTTAAAAAAAAAAAAGTTTGAGCTCTGAGCAACAGGGTCTCCGGTTTGATTCACGGCCCAAGCTGGGCTGCCGTTGAGCTGCTAACAGGTGGCAGGATGGCTCAGCTAAAAAAAAAGAAAAGAATGGCCCAAGGACAAAACAGACATTTTTCCAAAGATGTACAAATGGTCAACGAAATGATGCTCAGCACCAATTAATTAGGGAAATGAAAATCAAAACCATAATGAGACACCAAATCACATCCATCAGGATAGCTATTATGAAAAAAAAATAATAATAATAATAATAACGTATTGACTAGGATGTGGAGAAATTGGAACCCCTGTGCATTGCTGGTGGGCGTGTAAAATGGTATAGTTTGGTGGTTCCTCAAAAAGTTAAACACAGAATTACCATATGACCCAGGAATTTCACTTCTGCATATATACCCCAAAGAAGTGAAAGCAGGGACTTAAACAGACACTTTGTTCACCCATGTTCATAGCAGCTCTATTCACAACAGCCAGAAGGTGGTAACAACTCAAAAGTCCATCAACAAATGAATGGTTAAAAAGGTGGCCTATCCATACAATGGAATGTTCTTCAGCCTTAAAAAGGAAGGAAATTCTGACACATGCTACAGTACAGATGAGCCTTGAATGCATTACGCAAAGTGAAAGATGCCAGATACAGGACAACGAATACGATCCCACTTCCATGAGGGACCTAGAATAGGCAAATTCAGAGACAGAAAGCAGAATGGCGTTGCCAGGGGCTAGAGGGAGGGGGCGTGGGGGAGTTAGTGCTTAAGGGCTACAGAGCTTCTGTTTGGGATGAGAAAGTTCTGGAAACGGATGGTGGTGATGGCTGCACAACAACGTGAAGGTACCGAATGTCACTGAATTGCACACTTAAAAATGGTAAAAATGGCAAATTTTGTTATGTATATTTTGCCATACATACAAAATAGATGCACCTAAATGGGCTTCTAAGTACAGGGGGGTTTTCTGTTCATGCTGTCAGCTAGGAAAATGTTTTTAAGGAGTTAAGAGTCCCTGAAACCACACTTACCACATGGCCTGGACAGACACCGGCTTGAAGACGTGCATCCTTCCTGCTGTGCTGACGCTGAACCCACTGAGCATGAAAAACAAAAGACGCTACGGTGAGAAATCAGACCCTCCCACCGCATCACTGCGAGGTGCACACTGCGGACACCCCAAGGACAAATGTGTGCTTCACCCAGCAACGTGAGGTCTGACAAAAACTGAAACCCCAGCCGAGGGTTTGAGGCAATGACAGCATCTGATGCCACCTTGTTTGCATTCCTGCGATGGTCCCAACCTACCTGCTGCTTCTCGCCCCACCTATCCCACCCATTTTTTTTTTTAAATTTTGTTATTGCATGGAAAATACACTAATGGAAGATAAAATTTCCAAAAAGGGAAAATATAACCATAATCCTACCTCTTTAAAAAATCAGATTTTTATTTTTCTCTCCCAGTTGTATTTATGAGGCAACATAACGTTTACTGTTGGAATTCTAGTGGAGGGAGAATTTTCCATTCTGCCTCTTTCCACTCATCAGAGAATTCATGTATTTCCCCTGGGAGCAAACTGTGCACAACTCAGATGGCCCTTCCGTCTCCTGTCTACCTGCCCAGGACACACCTAATCATTCCTCCTCTGCAGCCCCCAAAGGGGCACTTGAAACACCGTTGTACCTGTCGGTCATGTGTCTTTTCCCTGTACCCCTAAAGACTGTGAGCTCCTGCTGTGTGGCATTTACCTATGAACTTTCAGGGACCAGCCCCAAATGGAGAGCACGTAGTGAGTATTCATTTAACAGATCAAGGGAAATTGAAGGTCATTTAATTCCTGTCCTGAAACTCTTTCCGCCTGTGGTTCTCCTATAACATGCTTCTGTCTATCCTTCATGACCCAAACTCCCTTCCACAACCTCCCTTCCTTGTGTAGCTCAGTGGAGGGCAGTACTATTTCTCCTGATGTAAACACGTCACACACATGATTCCATTGCTAATGATTACCCAGTGATGCCCCAAGCAACTCGTGTTTCAAAGTCTACAGTGATTAAAATCATCCTTTAACGAGATCTACTTACCCGTCACCGTCAAGGTGGATTTTCGTGTCACTCCACAGTCGGAGAACCATGCCAATGGTACAGCTTTTACTAGACAGGAAGGAAGAGAAGACGTCTCAAGTTAGAGTCCCCCTGCTTACAGTCTTCCCTCTCTGTCTTCTCCCAGCCCATCCAGCTCACAGAGGGAACCACACCCTGACCTGGGTCCAGATGTTGGGTGTGCGCCTAGGAGAATTTCTGAGGCTGTCTGTAGGGACTGCTCATCACTGAATTCTAGAACACATAGGTCTGGGATGGCCCACTAGAGAGTCACCAGTGACCCCTGCTTGGAGACAGTCACAGGGTACTCTGAGCCCCACCATCTGATGCGGCTGCAGCTCCATAAACACCAGGTCTCCGGTGCAGCTCTCAGGGGACAAGGAGCAACAAGCTGACCACACCCCCTCACTGCAGCAGAGGTAAAGCCACCGATGGCTGGCACACCTGGCACAAGGCCATACACACTCCGGGGGACACAGGTGAGTATTGGCAGTCAACCTCCAGCCTCCTGTCCTGGGGCGATGGGGAGGGGAGCATGTCAACACCATGATGGGCGTTCATTTCTGGACCTCTGTTTCTGTACCTTTTTTGCAGCTGCCGTTTTAAAAACTAGCCTAATCTGCTTTTGTTTTGCCTGTGCTAACAGTGCAATGATACTTTAGAGAGACTGGCGCCACTTAAAACATAGGGAGGGAAAGAAAGGGCTTTATCAGAGGGGCTCCTCAGATTATTAAGAAAATTCTTCAGGCATTTAAAAAAGAGCCGGCTTGTGAGAAACCGCTGTAGCTGTGCCAAGGCCAGCTCCGACAACCTCCAGGATCTTGAGCTAACATCTCTGTGCTACCACTTAACAGCTTCCCCAGGGAGTAATGCTGCTAGCAAGCGGGCAACTCTGCAGACAGGGAGCTCTCTGGGCTCACAGAATAGCTCTTCCTCCAGAGCATCTGTGACCACACAGGATTCTTCCACGCTCTGCTTTGGTATCTGTGGGGAAGGCAGTTTCAAGCCCTTCAGGCAAAATTAGACTAAGCCTTTCATGTCAGGCCAATTCTCAGGTCCCACCCTGCAGTCCTAACCCATTCTTGATGTGCTAATTATATTTCCTTCGCAGAGGTGCAAAATACAATTTAGGTTGAGACTCAGGGCTCCTGGCTGTGTCTGTGCTAGGCAAGGCAAGGAGGGGGCTCCTCCGAGACCCAAACGGACATGCCCCCTCCCCTACCTTTGAACTTGCCCAACTGCCCACTCATCCTTGGCTTAGCCGCCGCAGGTTCCAGAGGCCATTGGCACGGCCCCTCTAGGCCCACCCTCTCCTGTGTTTCCACAACGCCCCGTGCCTCCCTCCATCGCCGGGCCCATCACCCCAGCAACTGGTTATGGTTTCTCCTCACTGAGCTTATAGGCTCTCTGAGGTCGAGAACTGTGTGTATTATTGCTTCTTTGTTTACCTGGGCCTGGCTTATTGTCTCATACACAGGACAAGGCAAATAAACTGTTTGCTTAATGAACGCGTACATTAATGAATGATGACTAAAGGGAGTCAATTTAATACAGTTTTAACAAATCCAGGCTTTGCAATAATCTCACATGCATTAACTTATCCGAGATGTAAGGAGAGCCGTTCACCCTCATTTCACACACATAATAGGGTCTATAACTAACGTGGCCACCAGTTATTGGGAAATTCCAAACGTCTCTGACCCAGGACCTGTCAACAGGTACTTGGGACTCCATGGGACAGAAATACTGGATGAGGCGCTCGACACAATCTCCCTCAATCACATACTTCTTATACGGGCCTGCCTGCCTGGAAGGCATCCTCCTTGCTTCCCTGAGCTGGCTGCTTCTCCTTGGGTGTTCACCACAGCCATGACCTCCTTCAGGAAGGCCCCTGGCTAAGATGCCTTCTTGTAGAGCACCCCCAATAGAACCCGTGTTAAAGCTCAAAGCACAGGGGAGCTTTTCTTTTCCTCTTGATACACCCTAAGTTGTCTGAGAGCAGAGACTGGATGTAGCACAGCACCCGGCCCATGAGAGCCGAAATGGTGTGTTCTACTGTTCCCAGCGCCTGATCACCCCTGCCACATGCCATCACGCATCCCGTCGTCATTTCCCATGGACACGGGACCGTGGAAACCTTTTTCCAGCAGCCTCTGCTGTCCCCATCCCAGAAGGGAACCACCGTCCTATCAGACTCACCTTTCCTTACTGGAAAAGTCAACTCCCAGCAAGATGCTCTCCTCTGTGTCCTGGCGCCCGCTGCTGTCCACCACCACCATGTAGCGTACCCGCTCCGCCCAGGCGCTCTCCAGACGCACGGCCTAGACAGGCAGAGATGCTTTCACCGGCCTGCCTTTCCAGGTGGGGCCCCCTTCCTCCTTCACCAAACCAAGACCAAGGACTTCTGTTTTCTACCTTCCCCCCGTGCGTTTAGGAATTAAGATGAGATTCTTAGGCTCGGGGGCAATGCCTGGCTCAGAAGAGAGACATCCCCCCTCCGTCCCACCCCAAGGTTGGTTAAATGGGTGAGTAAATAAAATCCAGAGAATGAAGACTGCAGCTTAGCACGGACTGACCAAGAGACCTGATTTATCCCTTCCCTGGACCTTGTGGGTGCTGCAGAGGAGCCAACCTGACTTTGGCTTTTGTGAACAATTTGGGAGAATTTGCTAGAATGTCAAAACTCGCATACCACCCCCACCCCACCCCCAACGCCCAGAGCTCATGAATAATTTCCCTACCAAATTTCACAATTAAAAATTAAAACTTGCCACTCTCATCTCTTCTTACCAGCTTGATTCTATCTTCACAACGCAGAAGGTTGATCATTACTTGAAGATGTTGGGGCAAGTCACCTGTTGGACCAACGAAGACAGTTTTCAGAAATCACCTACCTACTTTCTAGGCAGAAGCCTAGGAGAGAGGTTGGCTCTAAGGGCCTGGAAGAAGACCCGGATGCTAAAATTCTTCTCCCTACACCACAGAAGCAGCATCACAAAACTTAAAGTTTCACCGTCCCTTACTCCATTCCTGAAGAATGTGAGGATGACAGAGATAGAGCTCACTGCCATGTTTTTAAAAGTTGCTTTTATTTTCTGAAATACTTGCTGTCTGGGTTTTTAAATATAAAATGTAGCAAATACAGACAAGCCTAGAGGAGAAGTATTATTCAATTCAAGCAAATATTACTTTTTAGAGTGGGGCAGCAGAAACCGCAGACATGGCCGAAGGAGGGCATTTGCTAAGAGTTGGTCTGAGAACAAGGACCGGGCATCCTTCTTCCTCTTTAAACTCTTCTGCATGTTCTCCAAGAAATAGATCTTACTTCCATAACTGGGAGGGGAAATGTTTAAACAACTCTATGGATAGCCAAGGACATGTCGAGTGCCCAGAGAAATAGTTTCAGTAGACGGCGTTCTGTCATTTTCTCTTTTCTTTCTAAAAATGACACACACTTTTGTTTTCCCCTTGGTTATTTAAAAGAGGTGATGATCTAGAGCCAGGTTTCGAACTTCTCTGAGCGGGCTCAGGGTCCAGGAGGTGCCGCTGGGCTGGGGTGAGGGGAGGAAAGTTTCTCATGGGTGGTGAGTCTTCACGGCCATGCAGGATGAACCAGACTGAAGACGAGCTGTGCATTCCAGGCAGAAGGGCCCCCATATCTGAGCTTCATAATTATTAATAGTAAGTAGCAAGTGTGACTCGTATGCCGCTTTCTTCCTAGCTTATGCATTAAAAAAAAAAAAAATGTCTGCAGAAACAAACTCATCGATACAGAGAACAAACTGATGGCTGCCAGACAGGAATGGGGTAGAAGGACTGGGTGAAAAAGGAGAAGGGATTAAGACGTACAAATTGCCAGTTATAAAAAGTCACGGGACTATAACGTACAGCATAGGGAATATGGTCAATATTGTAATAACTATATATGGTGTCAGATGGGTACTAGACTTATTGGGCAGATCACTTCATAAGTTACATAAACGTCTAACTGCTATGTCGTACACCTGAAGCTAATATAATATAGTATATCAATGGTAATTGAAAAAATTTTTTAAATTGTTTGCATGGGTTTCTTTCCAAAGAAAAGGTTCATCTGTAAAGATGGTGATCTAGAAAAGTGCAAGGAATAACTCAGAAAATCCGCATAAATTTCGATTTGTGCAACACCCTAATAGAAACAGAATTATCTTTTTAAAAAAATGACCTTGTCAATCACAGCTTAGATCCCCAGAAGGATCAATACATTGGATTCATTCCTTTTGCAAAAGCATCTTCTAAATTTTAGGGCAGACTGATCCTATGATGTCCAAATTGTACTTCCTGCCTCAGAGAGGAAGCAAATTGTTAGAAAGCTGCCTCTCTCGTCTGTCCTGTCTATTACAGGGTTCCACAGTGTAGACACCCTGCATTGACACCCCTTCCTATAAGGAATGACATGGAGGTCAGGATTCACATCAGCGGCGGGCATGGAGCTCCCCACCCCGTCCTCCACCTAACAGCACCCTCACCTGTCATGTCACTCATGCCACGATGGCACACAACCACCACGGCTGGTTCTGGGCTTGCCTGGGCCCCACCACCAACCACTCTGAGTCACAGAAGCACACAGACAAAGCAAAACCCAGCTCCTCGTCTGATGAGTGCCTAAATGAAAGGGACATTTTCCACACAGACAGGCTCCTTTCAGTGGGACTGCTTATGGAGATGTGGCATCGCTGACAGACACAAATCCCAACCCTGGTCTGGCATCCACACAGAGTCTCTGAACGTTGAAGTGTTCACTAAGCACTTGCAAAAAAATCAGAGACCACAAGCCTGAAATATAGGTTCCAGTACGCATCAGATTGACTGGACTGGCTGAAATGAACTGAATTACTTTCACATGGACAGAACTAACCCTCGATTGTACTCAGCTCTGCCAGGTGATTACTAAAGGTGCTGTGGGGTCGTCCATGGGACATTACGGTAATTCTAGAAAAAAAAAAAAAAGAATTGACATAAAGTCTAGTCTGTGCCTGCCCCAGGTTCATTTACTAAGAGTCTTTCTGAGCTCACTGGCCACTCCAGACCTCAGTGGTACAAGAGTCAACAAAGCCAGTGGCTGTCTTCCTGCTCTCACGTACACTGTTCCTGCTCTCACGTACACTGTTCCTGCTCTCACGTACACACAAGAGATGCATGCACCAGCCTGACTTAGGGTTTTTACAAAACAGCTTTGCACTTACTTCCCCAAGCTCGCACACAGTATGAAAATTTGTTTGAATTAGAGGATGGAGACATTTTTGTATTTTGTGAACAAAGCCTGAGTATCTGCTTTGTTGTATGTGTGATGGTTAAGACAGGAACAATGGTTAAATTCCTAACAGGGCAAAACCGTTAGCAAATTTAAGAATCAAGTTTTGTTTCTAGTTTTATTGTACCAGAAGTCATTGTAGTGATAATTATAGCTACCACACACTGAGCACCTACGAGGAGGTAAATATGTTACCTACATAAATTTTAAATTCCGTATCATCTGAGGTACTGATATCTGGTGCCCATTGTAAAGATTAGAAAACTGAGGCTCAGAGGTTGACTATGACAGCACAGTACGTTGCAGAACTGGGATCAGAAGGCAGGTCTGTCTGGCTCCAAAGCACATCGTCTTTCCCCAAACCACACTGCCTCTGTGTGCAGGACAATTCTTTTCCTAGCTTAAAACAGACTTCAATCTTGATGATAAATATCACTAAGTGAAAATACCAACTGAGTCTTGGTGTTTGCTATATAAATCGTAAGATATGAAATTCTAACCTGGGCACTCGGGTCCAAAATGAGGCTGGGTAACTTTGAGGTTAGACAAACAAAATGATCAAAGTGACAAGAAACCGGTCCTAATTGCTAGTTCCTTTCACCTGCTGTCCTAGGAGTCAGCAGCCTTGCCAGCTCACATCGGAGACGGGTTGCCCGTCCAAGAAGTGCCTGGAGAGGCTGCCCACCTATTACAAAGATTAACTTGTAAGCAAATGTTTTCTGAATCCCTCTTTTCAAATTGCCCCTGGTTTCAGAGTCAAGGTACCTAGAAAAACCAGTCTTATTACTTTACAGGTATTTCTTAGTTATTTGCTTTTGGACCTCAATTATTACTAGGTTTGATCCCCACTTTATCACTTCTGTCTACTTCCCAAAACCAAATCCGCCATTAAAACAAAATAAAGACTTCTCATCCCAGTGCATGTCAAAGGCTTATAAAGAAATTCTCTAAATAAGAGTTTTTCAAATCCTTGGAGAAATGACAGCGTCCCCAGGCTTGGTATACAGCAACTTAAGGGGGCTGTTTTCAAGGGGACAACGTCTGGTTATAATATGCTCTGGTGCATTTGTAAAAAAGTCATACTATTAATATAACTCAAAACCTGCCGGTAACTGACACACTGTGAGTAGGAAATCTTTACATCCAAACACAACACTGCTGACCGCCTTACTTCTTATATAGTATTTGACACGTATGGTCAAAAGGGTCACCAGCTCCCTGTGCCACGTGGGAAGTGTGCATGGCCTGCTTGCTTAAGAAAAGAGCTTCTACCTGTACCAGTCCACACAAACCTGGTTTCTCTATTTCCCTGGCCCTGAACACCAACAAACAGCTCACCACCAGTAGTGGAAGGTTCCTCCAGTTGCACGGACAGTAAGTTCCAACGCAAGAACGTCGATTTACCTGCGTGCTTATGGGGATGCTGAAGACTTCGCTGGCCTTGAGGGCTGTTTCCCTGTTGTAAGAAGAGGGCCGCTCCTTTCACCATGAAAAAGCTCTCACTTAGGCTGAGAAGAATAAAACCAGAGCACAGTTAGGGTGGGATTCAGAGAGGAAAAGGGGCAAAGACACACTGCAGAGGAAAACCGTGAGTGCGGACAAATGGCATGTAAAATTCAAACAGGATCAAATAGCTTTTAGCATAATGTCACATATTAGTTCTCGTCCCAAACCTCTGCTACAAACTTGTGGCTGGAGAATAACACTTCTGCTAAAACACCCAAGGTTCTTCCAGGGCCAAGAGCTCCTTCCTGTAAGATACTGTAAAGGGATCTTGCTGTAATGAAACATCTTCTAAAAATAGAAATTGAGCCTCTGATTAGGACAGGCTGATTTATAGTCACAACTGGTAACTAAAAAATTTGCAATTAAAAAAATTTTCACTTTCATGAATCGGCCATCAAAAAAATCTTTAGCATATGCAGAAATGAAGACCATAAATCAATAGACTGTATTAGCTATGAATTATTACCAATAATTCAAAAATACCATCAACTCTGAAAATTACCCATAAAATACACCAAAATTATTCAAGGTTTTTTTGGAGGGTTGGACTACTTATGATTATCTTCTTTCCACCTCTTAATATCTTCCAAATCTTCACTATTGAGCAAGTAGTAATTTTTTAAAATGGTAATTTTTGTTTGATTTTCAAAGTAATATAAAACATTTACTATATGTTATAATGGGAAAAAATTTTTTTATTTTTATTAATTTTGTGAAAGATCACAGTTTAAATGTTAGGGAACTATAAAAATCATTCGTTCTCTCTTGAGCAACCAATTAACACAGAAATGATTTGAAGGGAAAATCTCTAAGAAAAAGCAGCATTTTTTGTTTGTTTGTTTTAACAGAAAGCAAATCAATTCCTGATAGAAAAAACAAGAACATTTTCTATAATATAATAAAGCAAGGTCACCTTTGTCCCAGACACCCAACGTTAATATTTAAAAGTTCTAATCCTGGAATAAAAAAACTCTGCTAAATCTAATATATAAGGAAGGTGGTAAGAAAACTCACCACACAAACTAGCATTTAAGTCAGCAGCTCCTGGAATAGCAAAAATGGTTATCTTCTAGACAATTGTAAAGTCCACAATAAAATCTGTTATTTTCCTGGTTAAACTCCCATGCTAAATATAGTGACTGCTCAAATACTAAATAATAAGGCTTAGTTCTGTCTCTCTTATTTGGGCCTTGGAATTACTGATAACTGGTTTTTTAGATTTCATAACACCAATACTTTACATCTATACAGCACGTCTTCATTTATTATCACAAATATCCTGCCACGCCATCCTTTCCACCTTTAGTCACATATTTGTGCTGCAAGTTGCAAGAGTTGAGGAGCCCAGGACTATAAATAATGGAAGAAATGAGAAGCATCCTTTCTTCGTAGTCTCACTCTCACCCATGGAAGGCAAGAAAGCTCTTTAGCGCCCATCTGGCCAATTTTAAATCCAGGCTGTTTTATTTTAGCAGGCCGCAGAATCACCCACTTTTCTACTCTTAAAACTTGTCACCCTCTCCCTTCCTTAAAAGTTTACGACCAAGTTTGTTTTCAGAACGATTCTGTATTAGACAGCTCACTTACTACTGATTCCCATCAAAATTTAAAAGAGCTGCCCAAGGGACTCCCAAACCACGAAACTTAAAACAACAATCAGTTCATCGAAGCAGCTAGGGGAAAATCTTTGCAAAGCAACATCAGCCTCTTTTGTTCATGAGTTAAAAAAAAAGGGGGGGGGGGGAAATCCATACTGACCAGAAACCCGAGCACGCTGGAAACAGCCAGCCATTAACAGTGACCTTTGCCTTGGAAATCATGGGCAAAAATTCCCTTGGTTTCCCTTATACTTCCTTTGGAAAGAAAGGGGAACAATGCAAAAGAATAGGCTGGTTTTATCCCGTGATCACTGACAAGGCCAGTTGTTCCGCAGGGCTCCAGAGGCTGATAAAGACTCAGAGCCTCCCATTTGCACATGAAGTCGGGGAGCTGTACAGAGGGGGCCCCAGGACACTTAGCCTCTGTCCTCCTCCTGGAATTGGTCACAGGCGTTTACTGGAAAGAGTGAGACTGGAAGCTGCGGGGAAGCCCAAAGAACACATTAGATCAAGCCTGTGCCATCACCCTGCATCTGGGGAGGCGGTGAGAGGCGTCAGCACGAGATGACCGCACAAGATGACTCCCGGGGCCAAGAGGCCGCAGGGCACAGGAAGGCACAGGATTTATGAAAACTAGATGCAGATATTCTCCGTGATCCTGTTTCCCGTCTTCTGTCCAGAGCTCACTGCAGGCCCAGAGCCGCACGCATCCTCTGGGTGGCTGACGTGAACACTACTTCCCACTGCCAGGGCTCCGTGGGACTCTCTTTGCCAGGCTTCTGAGAGGCACTGTCCCCCGATTCATTAGCCTCAAGGCGCCCCTTCAGGGAAGGAAGTCCTTTAACAAATTCATTTGGCAATGACAAGTGCCCTGTCCTATGTACCCGGGGGCCAGGTAGCACAGACCACCTGTCCCGGCTCCCGAAAAACCAGCCTTCTCCCAAAAGATGCCGGTGTCCCAAAAAGAGCGAGGAAAGTTCTAGAAGTCCAGACCCAGACAAACAAAGCTGAACTGTTTTCCTCCGTCCCTTTCAGGAACATCCTGATGGGGGATTTAAAACAAATTCAGTCCCTGCCCTCCCAACCCCCATCCTCGACACGCTTATCACCGCAGCACAAACATGTTCTGAGACACTGCTTACTGCCATTTTAGAAGAAGACATGAGACCAAAGTTGCTACAAAGCACTGAAGAGAGACGAACGCCTCGATCGGTGCTCCTCAAAAAAGCCCCAGCCCTCACAGAGCACAAGCATCCAGAAGCATCCAGACGCAGACACACGGTAGGAAGACAGAAACCAGAGGTGGTGATACGTACTAATTTGGGCTGGAAACCCCTGACGAGCAGAAGTAGGCAGGTGGCTGAAGGGAGATGCAGACGTCGGTAAAATGAAACAGGTTCATGACTGCAGGAGTCACATCTTTACCTGCCCGAGGCTCTTGACTTCCACCCTCTCTGGAGGAAGGAGGTAAGTGAAGAAGAGGCTAGAATCGGTCAGCAAGGAGGTCCTCCTCCTTAGATGCTGTTCCCACCCCGAGAGCAAACGGGGCTTGTGGAATTCTGTCTTCCCCTGATATTTGGGTTAAAATAGGCCCTTGTGCCTGCACATCCTGATGAAAGAGGGCCATTCAGAGGGAGCAAAACAGCTGAAGTTCCTCTAATCACTTTCCTCCCACGGCTGTTTTGTAGGCCTCGGGAACATGCAATAGGGTGGGTATTCGAAACGGTGAGGGAAAACAGCTGGCCGCCCAGTCACAGATCCCCAGCAGCCAGGACTCCATTCTCGGTGCCCATTGACATAGTGAAGGATTTTTATTTCTTTCAAATCCCCATCCATTCACCCAACGGTGACCGTGGGCAGCTGCCACTGTTATGTGGTACTTTCAAAAGCACTTTTAACATTCTGGAAATTCTTCAGTCATGCTAATCGCTACTTGAGGAGGCAGTACCTGGGAGGTGTGGGGGGACACTCCAGGTAGAGGGAACCGCACATGCAATCATATACCGTGTTTCCCCGAAAATAAGACCTACCCAGAAAAGAAGCCCTAGCATGGTTTTTTCAGGATGCTCGTAATATAAGCCCTTCCCCAAACATAAGCCCCAGTTAAGACTGTCAGTCAGACATGATTGTTTGAATAAATGTAGATGTTTGTATATGAATAAATCAATAAATATAGATTGTTGGAGCAAAAATTAATATAAGGCCCGGTCTTATTTTCGGGGAAACACAGTAGCAGCTTTGAGAACTGCACACAAGGTGCTCAGAACAGGACAGGATGCAAAGGTAAGGCGGGCCCGGTCCTGGAGGGCCAAGGCACAGGACCCCGAGACCTACCCGGCAGGAGCCAGCCAGGAGCTCTGTTTCTATGCTAATTTATGTTCTATTATAGTGTATGTTCTGATATTCTTTCAACTGGTGAAGTAAATTAAGCCTAGATTAACCATAATGCAGGGCAGAATGGAATATGGACCCTGAGACAGGAACCCTTCTAGCGTTTCGAGGAGGGAAGACAGAGCATCTCACTGGTAGATTTTGGAACTCTTTGGCAGGAAGCAGCTCGGAGTAGAGACTTCTAGGAAGGTCTTATCAGGAAGTTTCCGCAAGGCCCAAACGAGGAATTCATCCTCACAAAAGGATTAAGTAAAACACGTGCTACAATGTTTCTTATTTTGCAGCTGAGGAAACTACTGCTTACCCAGGAGCACAGGTCTTTACAAGACGGAAGTAGACCCAAATCCGAGCGTCCCCGCACTCCCCTTCTTAACCCCTGGAATGCCCATTGTCCCTACCCATCCAGTGTCACCCTGCCATCACCTGCTTTGGTTCCGCTAAAGCACATGTCCCTGAGAAGTCAGAGCACAAACTCGTCCTCGGTGCTTGTTCCCAGCATGTGAGGGCACTGTGTGCAGGAAACAGGGAAGGACTCATTCAGGGAACTAGGACCTCAGGAAGAGAAGCCTTGGCGACAGAGTTCTTCCACCAGCCTTGGAGACAGGCAGAAGGCCCCAGGGGGACCACCCCGATCCCCCCGCCCACAGCCACCTTCCCAGTGATGGGACAGGACACATCATTCAGTCCTTCTAGACTGAATGGGAATCCTAAAGAATTCTGTGGGAAGCACAGCCAAGCTGGTCAAGAAGCCACTTCTCATCAACATTACTGTCACTCCCCGGGCACCTATCACGTGGCAGAGACTGTACCAGGCGCTTAGCTACGCCATGGCGTCTAGTTCCCACTGCTCTGCAAGGCAGACACGATTTTCCTCATAAGACAAACGCAGGAAGCCAGTCAAGCTCCTGAAACAGTCTCCAGGGATCGCCAAGGGAGCCTCGTTTTTAACCAATTCCCTCAGTGACGCTGGTGCACGTCAAAGCTTCAGAAAGTAAAATGCACTGGTCTGGGAA